CGGCAGGGTAATTGCAATTAATTAACAAATTAATAACAAGCCAATGGGGACATGAAAAGTTATATTAATTATAATAAATTATATCTGAACTATTCACATTTATTTGACCTATTATTGGCCAGTCAGAATCGTTAAAATAAAGATTGGAATACCTGACAAACTCGTCGATTATCGAGCAGCACAGGTGTTTTTGATGAGTCCGTGGCTGTGAGCAGGCATGTCCAGAATTCTTAAACGAATCAACTCTGACAAACAACCTGGCTTTTCCGATCGCTTCAAAACTTGCGTCATGTTACGTACCTTTGACGGAGAGACGGGCCCATAGATGTCCATTATGTGACGTGTACAGGTGGGGGAGCGTCACTTTCTGAAGTCAGTCTAATTACTACTCGCACTCTGTCGTATTCACCGTATACCGTATGGACCTCCAGTGAATGTTGCAGGACGTAACTGAACGTGTCATTACCATAATTATTTAAATTCTAAAAATAGAAACTATTTCCCTGGCCATTGTGTGGCACATACCATTATTAAATAGGGATGAATGTTTATTTAGGTAGACGAAAGCATTTTCAAAGACTATATCCAGCTTCATTCGACACACGTGTCGATGTCTATTTCACTTTGTATGTATGTGTGTACTCTGAATTTATATTTCACAAACTAAAATGTAAAAAACGTCGCCGAGTGACGCCAGAAAAAAAAGTATATTGTACCGAGACAAACAATTTACTACCAACTTGAATATGGATAGTATATTAGTTATGAATATATATATATATATATGCAGAGGTACATTACTTGGGATTTGCAACTACGGTGACATACCAAGATCCCGATCAATCTCGCTCTCACATAAGCGTTCCCCGCTCAGAACAATGCGAATGCACATGCCCAAGGTAACTAGGTTTCTGTGTGGTTCAGGTGGATCAAAATAGCTGCCCACAATATGACGGATTACAGAACTATATATTATATGTATTATATTTTTTCACTATGATAGTGGCAAGACATTTTTATTTTTTATTAGAACCCTTGAACATTGATATATGTCATGTCAGAAGGTCGTAGCCTCAGTCTCGCTATCCACGAGAAGAGACTTGAATGGAATCGTAACATATGTCACCATACAGTCCCAAGCGCCTTGCAAACCCCAAGTAATGTACCTCTGATATAATGTATTAAATATAAACAAATGTAAATCTTGTCAATCAGCTCCAGACAAACCTGATATAATGGAAAAACACATAATAAAATATGTTTCACTCATAAATTAAGTTTCTACGTTTACCACACAAACAGGTAGTCAAGTGATTTTTAATAATCACACGTACTTGAATCATTACTGGTTATGATAAGCTTTCAAAATGTAAGAATTTTAACTCTGAAATTATTAATTTTAAAATATGTAAATGCCTTGAAGTTCTATTTTTGTCATTAACTATTGTTGTTCGAGGTGGATAGTTTACCAGTCTAATCAGTCTCTTGGAATAAAGTCAGATATATCAATCAATCGTATAGTGAGACTGAATATATGTTATATGCAATCGAGCGGTAGACTCAGCTAACTTTACATCGTAGTCACGTGTTCACACGTACTCGTTGGCTGCAGATACACATCCATACGTGACATCAGCAAATTCTTATAGTTCACCATTGAGGGCGCCTTACTGCTCTGGTGAACTTTGAATAGCGATCGGTGCATTTTAAAAGTCTTCGAATATAGTATTCATGGTTGTGGTTTGGACACAGTCTCCGGTTTGGGGGTACGGTAGCACTGTATGGAATGAATCTGGGACACAGGATGATAACCATAACGTACGGCTCCGGTGTAGAAGCATCGCACAATGAGTTCTGTAATGGTTTGATCAAGTAGGTTTCAGTTGGTTTTCTAGAGTAGCACGGTGTCTGTTCCCTGCCATAAATGACACAAGCAACACGCAGATGACGATACTTTGTCGAGTACTTCATGACATCATATTGCAGATTAGTACCATATTTTAAGAGATCGTTCCAAAAACATTTAAAATTTACAGACATTACACATGTGCAGCATTCGTAATATTTAGCAAATTTCAGATAAAGTTTTTCTCTGGCGGCGGCATTTAAAAACAACTCGATATGTAGCGACATCCATTTAAATATAATACTTTTCAAATTAGGTTGCAAGTTAAAAAGGATATCTTTCATTGAGAAAACCCGTAAAAACTTCACACATTTGTCTTGACATATATTCAAATACATAACATACACAAATGCATCAATGACCCATGATTTCATCTGCATAAACTCTGCGCCTTCCAATGTCTCTATGATATTACCCGGGGTAACGTATAATATTCCACTGTGTACAAACTCCATTAGTGTCCGCATGGCGGTGACGGTAGGAACATCTTTCATCACAATTTCGTTATTCCTTGTTTCCAGGTAATTCCTGGAAAACATCACTTCGAAATATTCAAAGTGTTTTGTTAGTATGTCCTTATCGACGAAGAAAGTATTATTCTCCATCCGAATACAGAAGTTATTTTTCAGTCCAAAATAGCTAATAGATTCTGCACTATGTTGGCGTCTGTTTGTCTTGCCCTTCTTTCCCATTTTCCTCTTGTCCACGTGTTTCTAATGTTCTGTTATACTCCCGGTAAGGCAAAAATAACACCTAGCCTTGCACACAAAATTGATTCAATGGTGTCATAGATATTAAGTGTGTGTCCTTTGTTTACCTTATCACATAGTTGTGAGAAAACATCACTTCAAAATTATATTGTTAATGACTTCTTTGTCAACGAGGAAGGTGTTGTTTTTCATTCGAACACGAAAATCCTTTTTCAGCCTAATTGTTTGGACGTGTTCTGTATTACTCGTGTTACTTGTCACAAGCTTTGGCTTTGATTCCTGTTTATGCTGACTCGATCCTGTGGGACTGAATAAAAATAATCGCCATGACTATAATTTACAGAAATAACGGACAATATATGATTGAAGGGCGGTGGTCGTCGCGCCGCGCATGTGCTACATTCGTGTTGATTTTCCTACAATCCAATGCTCTCTTCTATTGTAAATCTAAATGTAAATCACGACGCGACGTGTACTACTTTCTATGCCTTCCAGCCGCCAAAAAAATACCTAGTTAAAGCTTAGTAACGTTTCAGTTTGTGTTCGTTAACAGTCAAATTCGCCATTTTTGTTCATATGAGACTATATCTCGCGCATGCGTGGTGCGACGTCACGAGCCTTTCAAAAATCGGAGCTGCGAGTTCCAGTACAGTACATCACGCCACCTGTTGCTGAAACGTTCGATAATTAAACGTCAATATAATAATGTGACAATTTCAATCCGTCAAACTATCCATAAACTCGTAAAGATTGTTATCCTTATACTCCCAAAAGCATGAACCGCACTTCTAATTTTGGCATAGTGCCAAATGTGGTATATCATGACTGTCAAATATTTTATTTTCACTTGGATTTTTTGCTGAAGGAAGGCACGAATAAAATACAGTGAAAATATCCCTTTTTCATTTGTGTTACAAATCAACTAGCCAACAGTCAGTGAAAATAAACTTTATGCAAGATAGCGATTTTTTTTATTTTACACTGCTCGTAACCTGGACTTTTGGCCGGGTGTGTAGACACATGGGTGTGTCACACTCACACACGCAACCTTTAATCTGTCCCAGGGCTTTATCGACGGAGGTAAATATTAAATCGTCAACAACTATGCAAGCTGCGACGATATATATACATATTCAGCTTATGATTACAAAAAGAAAAATTAACAATACCTTTCCCTTCACTCTATATTAGGTTCCGTCGTTCAGTTCGAATGTTCACAGGTGAACGCGAGTTTAATGTATGTCAGCCTGACAGCCTGCCAGGTTTCAGTATAACGTCGTATGCCGCGTACTAGTAGTCTATGCATGGGCATGGTTGCAACCATTTACATAGCGATTCACCAGACTATTCTTGAGTGCTCTCTCCAGGGAACTCAAGAATGAATGGATTCCAGGCTACCGTGAATTTTCAAGGCGAATGTTCCGGCAAAGCACTGGAGAGGGAGGAATGTACGAACGAAGCAACACCGTGCAGGCGGACGATTCACGGAGTTGCTGGTCTTGATTTCACCAGTACACCGCTAGAGGGCGTAGTACAATACCCGGTTGTCAGTGGTGATAAGTGTCTGAAGTGGAGTTGAATTAAAGGGCGGTGGTCGTCGCGCTGCGCATGTGTGATATTTGTGTGAAACATTGCTATTCCAACAATCAAGTGCGCTCTTCTAATGGAAATCACGAGTACGAGTTTTGATCAGACGCGACGTGCACTAATTACTGTCTATGACTCCTTCGATACCGGTACCTTCCAATCACCAAAGAAATTACGTTGTTAAAGTTAGGTAACGTCTCAGTTTGTACTCGTTGGTCTGTGCAACAGTCAAAATCGCAATGTTTGTTTATATGAGACCCATATCTCGCGCATGCGTGACGACCATCGCCTATTAATGCAACAAAATATTAATGGAGCGGCCAAAAAAGTACTCAGTCTGGCAATAAAACGTATCCGACTGGAGGTGGGAATACAAAAACTACAAAAACTATCAGGATAATATTTAGACACTAATACGTTTTACGATTTGAAAGGTTTTCTTTTTGTAGGTGATCTATTTGGCGTTTCATCCCCATGTGTGTCTTAAATCTATCTGGATAACTTATATGGCGGCTATTTTTCAAACTCTTCAAACGGCACTGCAGATGGCAACCTTTTTTGACGTCGTTTGAGTATTTCTGATTTGTTTTTCATGCTTTTAAACCAAAAGTACCCAAAAGTCGGATTTTTCTTTATTTAATACATGTTACGTCCGTGGCACTAAATATTTTTTTTTGTCGATTTCCGTTGAAGTATTTAACCCTTCTGAGTGCTATTCACGCATTGGGTTTACCTTAAGATACGGAAACTGTGGTATGTCGTATATTTCACCAGAATGAGAACGTATTCTTCGGGGAGAACATCCGGCCATTTTCACCGCATTGCAACCATCACGGTGAAAACAAACGCCGAAAATCTCTCAGAAAACGGTACATTGGGATGGTTGTTGAGACTCCCCTGAACAGTGTAACAAGATTACCCCTGCGTACGTAACGCATATAAATTTAATTGTTCAGGATTACTTCAAAGTTGAGTTTCTGTTGTTTTCTCGAATTTTCACCGGCTCTTCGCTCGGCGTTCCGCGTTTCTCAGCAGCGCGCGCAGAGCCCTTAGAAATAGTACACGTTGTGTCGTCACAGGAAGCGCTGTGCCAGCACAGACATAAGACGCCGACCTGCAGCGTCAATGATACGTGCATTCTCTACCACCAGTCCCTGGCAACAGGATGGCGCGTGATCATTGTTATGCAGGATGAAATACGTGGTACAATCTTAGAAACGTAGAACGTCTTGT